CAAATCTCCTCACAGTAAATCAGATATGGCAATATGAGTGTGTTATATAGAGTATGCAATGAGTTGTAGTCCAGAATGTATCTGGCTTTTCCCAATATTGCGATAGTTTTAGCCAGTTTTGCTTTTACATGAGTGATATGAGGTTTCCAGCTGATTTTGTGCTCTCAAACCACACCAAGGAACTTCATTTCATATACTCTTTCTATGTGTTATCTAGTATTAATTGTATCTGTGGATTTGTTTTATGTTTTCCAAATAACATAATCTTTGTTTTGCTTATATTTAATGATAATTTGTTTGTGTCAAACCAATGTTTTACTTTAATCATTTCTGCTGTTATCACTTCCATTAGCTCTTTCAAATTGTCACCGGAACAAAACATATTAGTGTCATCTGCAAATCAAATAAATTTCAATATATTTGATACTCTGCAAATGTCGTTGATGTATATTATGAACAGTCTGATACACTTTTGTGTTCGCATCACTTCAGTGGTTGTCTATATATAAATGTGGTTATTTTCCACCGTGGTCTTATCTTATGTGTGATATGTTAGCTCTCAGACCACATTTTCTTTCCAGGAAGTCATTCAATCTGGCTGCAAATCGCAAAGCAATTATTTCATCATGTAATTTCCCCTTAAAACCACAACTTCTCATTTAAACATCTTAATATGTGTACAGATCAAACAAACAAGATATGACATGATAATTGGTCAGGTTTAAAGTCGCTGGTAGGTGTATCTTTGAGGGATTTGAGAGAGCTAAACTAATTGACTCCCAGGGCTAGCTTCTCAGTTAAGGCACAGACATGAAAGGAGTATCAACCTTCTTATATAACTCTCAGATAGTGTTAGCATAGCATTGCCTTGTATGGTTTGACACAATTCACTTTTGGAAACGGACAACGATCACTGCGTTGCATTTTGTTCATACACTTTCAAATGTAGCACACATGCTTTTTTGGCCTAGGTAATTTGTTGGCAATCAATAGAAACACCCACACACCGGATAAGTTGTTGGGTGAGCACGGTGAGGTAGACACACACTTGACCAGTTGGCTTTGAGCACACACACCCTCACACACACACGGTGGGCAGTAGCCAGGCAGCCGAGGCCCTCAGATATGCTGTTGACAGAGATTATCAGCACCGTTCCCCGGCTGCCTTTCTCTCTCTGCATGTGACATAGTTTACTTTGGGCTCCACCTGGTCAGAATGTGGGCGAGAGACGTTCAGATAGAGAGAGGGAGAGCGAGAAAGGATGAGGAGAATGAGTCCGGAGACAGAGGAGGGCCTCATAAAGGGAAACATTTGCAAACCGGAAGGGAGTTATGTAAATGGGTCAGTCATTAAGGCCTTCTAAAAGAGAGGAGGCCAGATTGGGGCCAGGGGCAGGCGGGTAGGCAAGTAGGGAACATAAACCCATTATGTGAATAGGCTCCTCTGTTCAACGTAAGCTTTTCTTTCTTTTTTATAGTTTTACAATATTTACTTAAAGGCTAATATCAGCAAAAGGAGTACACACCCAGAATATCTTAAGGCAGTCATTACAGTATTTCCCCGACAATGAGGCTTTTACTTCACTCATCCTTTCAGTGTAACTCCCCCCGTCAGACACTGATTGTTATTCAGTGTGCTCCTGGGTTACTATGGTTTTCGGATACATCAACACAGCAGGACTTCACGGTCAATTCAGAAAACCTACACAGCAGACATTTATGTAGGAGAGACACTACAGATGAACAGAGTAACAGTTTTAACTGCTAGATATCACCATGGAACGTTTCCTGTTGAAAACGTTATAGCAAGCGTAATGAAATGCTATGTTAAATTATGCCAAGGAAGCATTATGTTTTGTAAATAAAATGATTTTTGCAACAAGGTTTATCTTTTGGGTAGTATGAAAATCATATCTTTAAAGACTGTTTTCTCAAAATATGTTTTGCAAAACTCTTGACATTTTGAAAGACACTACATTTGAATAGGGTAAACATGACGTTTTCATGAATGTTATTGTAACATATGCAAATAATGTATTATCTTATGCTAATTTATGGTGAGATTATGAGAAATCTACAGATAGACAAAGTTAGAAAAGTAAACACATGAATATATATTTTAGATGTTTTATTTCCACTAGTTTGAAAGAAGCACAAACTCTCAAAACTGACCTCTATATGAAAAGGAAACATCATTTTGCCTGTAGTGTCTTGCCTAAAATGACAATGTATGGATGTATACCATTCAAGTCTCAACAATACTGTATGTGCTGCTACAAGCTGCCGTCGTAGAGCCAGTTCTGACAGATCACATAGCTGTTGTCATGTACATGAAAAAGAAAAGAGGAAGAGAGAGAAAGAACTGTGGCAGCATCCTGTGTCTGGTGTGACACCTTTCAAAACCTGCCTTATAATTTACACAGGAAGAGAAGAGCAACACCTGAGCCGTGTCTGTCAGGAGTCCGGAGACAGCATGTAGCTTCAAGGGTTTCACAGTGAACACATAGTGGCTCTCATCACAGTACGGGAAGCGCTCACATGTGGTCTTTAGTGAGGTCCAGATTGCATACTTGTTTCTGTTCACTGCTGAAAACATGATAAAATGTTATTGTCCTCCACTTTAATGCCAGATGATGTCATTGTCGTCCATTGGTGCAGAGGATCTGGATTCTAAATGTTTTCAATGAAGAATAGGAGCATGGATACCAGAGTAACCTCCTGCCACTCTTAATGCAAGGTACTTCACCTGTAACATCTCCACTGGAGCCAAACCTCAACATAAAGTCTGTGGTTTTCCTCAGCGGCCCACAGCAGAGTCTGACTGGTGCCCCCTGTGGCGAAATAACATTATCCCCAGCCTGCAGGATTTGAACATTGTTATGTGCAAAATTATAATTGAAGGTAAGGTGCTTACGCTTTAGATAAGTCTGCGTGAGCAAAACACAAACAAAAAATATAAAGAAGAAGAACTAAGTCCCTTCCATTCTTTTCCGATTAGTTGTGTTTCTGCTGGGACGACATTTTAAGTGACAGGTTATTGAAATATTAATTTCAGTAGTTTATTTATTGAAATAATAGGATATGGTTCTAATTTAATACTCGCTGAGAATCTCTGGTGAGCATATTTTCAGAATACTGTAGAATAGTTGCGTTATGCTGCCATCTTGTGGGCGCGTTGGGTATTACATCTACCCTGCATCCTCAGCGTTTATGGTTAAAGTTCACTAGTTTGGCCTTAAATGTCTAAAACACAGACAGATGTATATATACTGATACAACATTTATGTGCCTTCCCACTGCAGTGCATTTTTTTATTTTCTTCACAACAATATAATAACTTGATTTCAGAAATATTCCTTCCATTTATTTTTCGTCATTAGTAATTCAAATATTGTCCTTCTCCTGGGAAAGCTCCAACTTTTCAAGAAATACAGCCCAGTTTTCAGCTGACCCTGTTTATCTGTTTGTGTACAAAAATGCAAGATTTCCAAATGGATGTTTATTTACTGCGCGTCAATATGAACATCATATATGAGGCTTTTTGAGAGGTGATTTACATTGACATCCTTTCCCATTTCTCCAGGTGTTTACCATGACCAGTGTGCAGGCGCTGTGCCGGAAATCCCTCCTGCTCACAGGATACCTGGAACACCTGAGCCAGCATTATTTCTCTGACGACACCAGCCAGCCTCACAAAGCTTCAACAAAATTAAACATGTACAGTAGAATATAACTTGGGTTTCACACCACATTTTAACTCTATGTTTTGGTACAAAAACAGCTGACATGACTTTAAAGGGATTTTTGGATGTTCATTTAAAAAAGCCCATCTATGGTATGCACGATTCCCTCTGTAAACCAATCAAACGTGATGATTGGACCCCAGGCATGACCCCCCAGGTTGGAACAGGGTTGGAAGGGACCCGGGCCCTTTCTCATTTCACTAATGTCCCCTCCTCGACTCCTTGAATCCTCGGTCCTCCAGTAGTGACCCAGAAATTGACTTCAGTGCGCCATGTTGAAGGACATCTAATTTCTCTAAATGCACTTCGAGGATCGAGCATCGAGGAGGCTCTCTGGAGGAGCTATAATCGAGGATACACTTTCCGGAAACAGAGATGTTTAAAAGACCTACATGGAGGACCACCTGAGGAACAAGGACCGTCTGATAAAGGAGTGGGAGGACACCGCCGAGCCCAGCGCCATCTCCATCGCCCAGAGCGACGACAACGACCAAGAAGAACCGCTGCGCCCAGTCTGCCCCCTGTGAGTGAACAGAAATATATTCATATTAAAGGTCTCCTATTATGCAAAATCCACCTTTTTATGTCTCATCAACATGTGTCCCCTCTGTGGAAAGAGACTCTGAAAGTTTCAGGACAAAAGATTCTCTCTCTTTTTGTCCTGATCCATTTATATACAAACCTGTCTGACCTGTCTGAGCAGATTTTGGCCACTTTATGATGTCATATATATATAACGATGTGTTGGCTTGCATTAGCCAATCACCAACCAAGGTAACCCCCCCTCACACCATCTCTGACTTCTGGCAGGTAAGAGGCCATTACTCATGTATCATTTATATTATTATATTTATTACGTTTTCCTCATATTAGTGCAGTGTCAGCCCCAAACTGAGGGGTGTCTTATCTTTGGTTACCTGTCATGCATTTGTTCGGAGCCACAACCTTCCAGTAGTATTTCCTGCAGGTTTTTTAAAAGCTCCAGTTCCTTTAATATATATATAATTTATCACTAAACTTCATCAGTCATACACTGAAACATCCCTGTGTGTGTGTGTGTGTGTGTGTGTGTGTGTGTGTGTGTGTGTGTGTGTGTGTGTGTGTGTGTGTGTGTGTGTGGTGTGTGTGTGTGTGTGTGTGTGTGTGTGTGTGTGTGTGTGTGTGTGTGTGTGTGTGTGTGTGTGTGTGTGTGTGTGTGTGTGTGGTGTGTGTGTGTGTGTGTGTGTGTGTGTGTGTGTGTGTGTGTGTGTGTGTGTGTGGGAGAACGGCTGCACTGTGATCGTGATGATGAGCGCTCTGGTTGAAGACGGGGAGAAACAGTGTGACCGCTACTGGCCTAAGGGCTCGTCCCTCTACCACATCTACGAGGTGAGTGTGTGTGTGAGGCAGAGATGGCAAAAGTACACACATCCTTTACTCAAGTAGAAGTACAGATACCTGTGTTTAAACATACTCTGGTGAAAGTAGAAGTAAAGAAACTCTGGTGAAAGTAAAAGTAAAGAACTTTGAAATGTACTTCAGTAAAGAGTACCCATAACTAGCAGCTGCTTTAAAGAGTACCTGACCTCCCTTTATATTAATCGAACAATAATGTCATTGTTAGCTAATGAATGTTTCCATGCTGAACAACGGCAACATGACAACGTTTTCATTGGTCCCTCTTCTTCAGAGAAGACCAGGAAATGATGGATCCACGGATCGTGTTCAAATCAATAGGCACGCAATGACTCTAAATAATAATGATCACGCATCAAACACACATTCAAACTAAAGGAACCAGCTGTTTGGAAAATGAGAGAAGTAGAAAGTACAGGTATTTGGGTTCAACATGTAAGAAGTAGAAAGTACAGGTATTTGGGTTTAACATGTAAGAAGTAGAAAGTACAGGTATTGGTTTCAACATGTAAGAAGTAGAAAGTACAGGTATTTGTTCAACATGTAGAAGTAGAAAGTACAGGTATTTGAGGTTCAACATGTAAGAAGTAGAAAGTACAGGTATTTGGTTCAACATGTAAGAAGTAGAAAGTACAGTATTTGGTTCAACATGTAAGAAGTAGAAAGTACAGGTATTTGTGGTTCAACATGTAAGAAGTAGAAAGTACAGGTATTTGAGTTCAACATGTAAGAAGTAGAAAGTACAGGTATTTGTTCAACATGAAGAAGTAGAGTAGAAAGTACAGGGTCTTTGCGTTCACATGTAAGAAGTAGAAAGTACAGGTATTTGAGTTCAACATGTAAGAAGTAGAAAGTACAGGTATTTGCGTTCAACATGTAAGAAGTAGAAAGTACAGGTATTTGTGTTCAACATGTAAGAAGTAGAAAGTACAGGTATTTGGGTTCAAAAATGTAAGAAGTAGAAAGTACAGGTATTTGAGGTTCAACATGTAAGAAGTAGAAAGTACAGGTATTGGGGTCAAAATGTAAGAAGTAGAAAGTACAGGTATTTGAGTTCAACATGTAAGAAGTAGAAAGTACAGTATTTGTGTTCAACAAGTAAGAAGTAGAAAGTACAGGTGATTGTGTTCAACATGTAAGAAGTAGAAAGTACAGGTATTTGTGTTCAACAATGTAAGAAGCTTAGGTAAAGTACAGGTATTTGTGTTTCAACATGTAAGAAGTAGAAAGTACAGGTATTTGGTTCAACATGTTAGAAGTAGAAAGTACAGGTATTTGGTTCAACATGTAAGAAGTAGAAAGTACAGGTATTTGGTTCAACATGTAGAAGTAGAAAGTATGGTAACATAAGAAAAAAAGGTACAGGGTATTTGAGGTCAACATGTAAGAGTAGAAGTACAGGTATTGGGTCAAACATGTATAAGAAGTAGAAAGTACAGGTATTTGAGTTTCAACATGTAAGAAGTAGAAAGTACAGGTATTTGGGTTCAACATGGAAGAAGTAGAAAGTACAGGTATTTGGGTTCAACATGTAAGAAGTAGAACAGTACAGGTATTTGTGTTCACATGTAAGAAGTAGAAGAAGTACAGGTATTTGGGTTCAACATGTAAGAAGTAGAAGTACAGGTATTTGGGTTCAACATGTAAGAAGTAGAAAGTACAGGTATTTGGGTTCAACATGTAAGAAGTAGAAAGTACAGGTATTTGGGTTCAACATGTAAGAAGTAGAAAGTACAAGGTATTTGTTGTTCAACATGTAAGAAGTAGAACAGTACAGGTATTTGGGTTCAACATGTAAGAAGTAGAAAGTACAGGTATTTGGTGTTCAACATGTAAGAAGTAGAAAGTACAGGTATTGTGTTCAACATGTAAGAAGTAGAAAGTACAGGTATTTGGGTTCAACATGTAAGAAGTAGAAAGTACAGGTATTTGGGTTCAACATGTAAGAAGTAGAAAGTACAGGTATTTGTGTTCAAAATGTAAGAAGTAGAAAATACAGGTATTTGGATTCAACATGTAAGAAGTAGAAAGTAAGAAGTCGTCAGAACAATAAGTAGTGGAGTAAAGCACTGATACCAGATACCTTAAGTACAGTAACGGAGTATTTGTCCTCCACTACTTGTCTGATGGTGTTTCTCCAGGTGAACTTGGTGTCGGAGCACGAACGACTTCCTGGTGAGGAGCTTCTACCTGAAGAACGTCCAGACGCAGGAGACCCGGACCCTCACTCAGTTCCACTTCCTCAGCTGGCCGACGCAGGACATCCCCCCCCGCCACCCGCCCGCTGCTCGACTTCCGCAGGTACCGCCTCCACCTGCACAAGAACTAACCTGAGACATCCCGTAATCTGATACAAAAACATGCAGACTGATTGAAGAAGCAGCTGCATTACTCAAAGATTCAAGTCATATGCACAGCAGCTACAGTGTAGAAATGGCAATGAAATTCTTCTGACCTGAGGTCCTCCAACAATGCAACATATATAACAAAATACAAAATAAAAAGTAGTGCAAAAAGTCTATATACATGTAGATAGAATATGGGATATGTACAAGAACAGAATATGAAAGTAATAATGTAGCCTACATTAAGACAAAATTAAATACGGTTTACCGAGGAGTTTCTGCAGTGAAATATCAATAAATGAAGACCCTTAACTGACTGCAAATAAAATAACCTGTAAAGCTACCGGAGGGTTTTACATTTTAGATACAGAAACATTACTACAACAAAAACTACATTATTTTGCAGCAAAACTCATATTTAAATACTTTTATTGCAATTACTGTAATGAAATACAACGTAAAGGACTCCTATTGCACACAAGATAGGAGTCTATTGTGTTTCAAAGTGAGAATCTAAACTGATTTCAATGTGGGGAAAAGGATTAAAAACTGGGGGAAATCATCTTAAAACAAAGCAAAGTCATGCATTATGAAACATGAGGAATTTACCAAGAAAATAAATACTGTTCCACTTTATTTCTACGTTAGGAAACCAACCTAAAGCAGGCGTAACATTGTACAGAATTACAATAGAAGTGTGTCCAAAAGCGTCCAGAAGGTTTGAGTATTTATTAAAGAAAGGTGACAACAAGAGGGTTAAAAACACAACGCAGACACCAAAGTGTTTCCTCCCATCCTTCCTTACTCCAACCCCCCCCCCTCCCTGTGCGATGGAGGTCAGCGGCTGGTTAAACTTGAACATATCTGTCTGTGTCATTCTTGTGGTTTGCAACTAGTTTGTGTCTCCAGTTGCATAGTCACAAAAATGATCATGGACTGATGTGGCTGCAGCAGGAGGTCCATCGCCGAAAAACACTTTTTATTTATCAAAACCAGAGGACTTAACGAAGCTAAGCAAGTCAGCTGTCAGTAATATGTGCGTGTATGGGGGCGTGGAGATGTGGACAAATCATCTGTGTGTACCAGTACTTTTATTTTAAGACAGAAGAGACTTTTGTAGTCAAACACTGAGGCTGCAAAAAGTTCTCATATTTATGTATTATCTCCTAAACCTAGAGGTTGTCCGTCCTTGGGGCTTACTACTTAGGGTTTTAATATATACATATATTAACAGTTTGATATATATACATAGATGCTAGGTAAATTATTAAACTGCCATAGGAGTAAAGTAAAGTGGTACTGTGCACTTTCTAGATACTGCAATGATCTCAGACATATTTTAAGATTGCATAATTGCACAATCATCCATGTTTATATGGAATAGTTAATGCACCAGCTTAAATAGGTAAATAAATATGTTTTATTTGTTTACATTTCTGTGTTTTTCCTCTCTTCAGGAAGGTGAATAAGTGCTACAGAGGACGGTCCTGCCCCATCATCGTGCACTGCAGGTAAATCCTGAATTATCCATCAACAACATGGATTAATAGAAACTTAGTAAAACGGTTAATTTAGACTAAAGATCTAATGATGGAGATAAATGGACGGCGTTGATATGGCATCGTAGTACCACACGAGTCCACTGGGTAGCAGCAATAACCATCGTTAACGAGGTAGACTTTTTGCAATCAGATTATTAATTATTTGTATTATATATTGTTTGAAAAGTGACAGGATAGGCCGGACTGGGACGTACATCCGGATCGACATGGTTCTCAATCGCATGGCTAAAGGTGAGCTTTATTTATATCATGCACTTCTACTGATTTAGATCAAAAAACACTTTCATTATCAACGATCAATATCGATCTGCAGAATCAAGATCTAAGACCATTGTAGTTTGCTCTGGAAGATGAAACAAAAAAGCAGTTTTTGTTGTGCTTTTAAGCTTTGGAGGATGTGTGTGAGTGTGTGTGTGTGTGTGTGTGTGTGTGTGTGTGTGTGTGTGTGTGTGTGTGTGTGTGTGTGTGTGTGTGTGTGTGTGTGTGTGTGTGTGTGTGTGTGTGTGTGTGGTGTGTGTGTGTGTGTGTGTGTGTTGTGTGTGTGTGTTGTGTGTGTGTGGACTAGCATTACTATACTTGTGGGGACCTAAATCTGTTTACATAGTCACGTGTGGGGACTCGCCTCCCTTATGGGGACAAATTGGAGGTCCCCATGAGGGGAATCATTCATTTTAGGGTGAAGACTTGGTTAGGTTTAGGGTTAGGGTTAGGCATGTGTTGGTTATAGTTAAGGTTAGGATAAGTCTCCAGGAAATGCATGTAAGTCAATGTAATGTCCCCTGAAGTGATGTATACATGGTGTGTGTGTGTGTGTGTGTGTGTGTGTGTGTGTGTGTGTGTGTGTGTGTGTGTGTGTGTGTGGTGTGTGTGTGTGTGTGTGTGTGTGTGTGTGTGTGTGTGTGAGTGTGTGTGTGAGTGTGTGTGTGTGTGTGTGTGTGTGTGTGTGTGTGTGTGTGCAGGGCCGCCCCTGGCCAACTTGGGGCCCCAAGCGACATTGTGAGATGAGGCCCCCCCCCCAACCGACAGGAGTGAAAACATTTTTTTTGAAAACAAAGCAGGCTACTTTGCAAATATAATTCCTGTTTATTATTATTATTATCAACAGTTACTTTTTTATACAGTGAGGTAAATGGTAAATGTCCATGTATGTCGTTCACTATGCGTTTACAGGTGAATTTACGTCTGCATTTCCTGCCAAATACTAGCCTCAAAAAGATTAAAATATAATTAATGCAAATAAACTGCTTCTACTAATAATCATAATCAATTCAATAATATAAATACTACATTATTTTATTATAATATAGTTCAGCCTCTCTCCTAACAGTCATCATCATGTCAACCACAACACAGAGACATACTGATAGAAATGTGTGTGTATTTGTTGATACATTGCTGACAGAGGGAACTAGAATACAGATTTAAGAAATATCAGGTTTTGAGCATGTCATAAGCATGTTTTGTCTTGACTAGCATCACCATGAAATGTGCAAATTGACATACAAATGAATAAAAGGGGAAAAATGCTCCATGTTTTTTAGGCTGTAAACTTTAACTGTTATGTAAGCCAACTAGACAGACAGTGTATCACTCTTTCTCCTGCACATTAGCAGATCAAAGGCATAACATACTTGAATGAATGGTAAATACATCTCCATTAGCCTATATGCTATGCCTTCTTCATGTCGTGAATTGCAGCTGATGTTTTAATATGGCAATTGGCAATTTGACTTATACAACATTCACAAGTTGTATATTTGACTCATACAATAATAACCCACCTTCGAGTGATGCTCTAGTTTCTTCATGTTTTGTTTTTTTCCCTCTTGCTTGCTCCGGACTGAAACTGTCTTTTCACCGACATCTCTTCACCTGCACTAGTGGCCGTATCAAAGCCGTGATTGGTCAGATGTCGATTAATTGCAACGATGTCGGATTACAGACGTGCTCCCCTTGTCACCTCTCACTCTCGCGTGTCAGCGGGGGGTGCGCGGAGAACTTCGCGGAGGACTGCGCACAGCAGCTGAGGCCCTCTGGGCGGGGCCCCTGCACAAGGCGGGGCCCCATGCAGCCTGCGTGATTGGCCTGTAGGGAGGGGCGGCCCTGTGTGTGTGTGTGTGTGTGTGTGTGTGTGTGTGTGTGTGTGTGTGTGTGTGTGTGTGTGTGTGTGTGTGTGTGTGTGTGTGTGTGTGTGTGTGTGTGTGTGTGTGTGTGTGTGTGTGTGTGTGTGTGTGTGTGTGTGTGTGTGTGTGTTGTGTGTGTGTGTGTGTGTGTGTGTGTGTGTGTGTGTTGTGTGTGTGTGTGTGTGTTGTGTGTGTGTGTGCTGCGAGCATGTCCGGGACCAGAGGCCGGGGATGGTCCGCACCAAGGTCAGAGTTTGTCACGTAAACAAGGAAACAGGAAATATACAAAACAAAGGGTCGTTTTAAGGATGAATCATTTCTCCTTTTTCTGTGTGCAGGATCAGTTTGAGTTTGCGCTGACGGCGGTCGCTGAGGAGGTCAACGCCATCCTCAAAGCTCTGCCTCACTGACACCCTCCTCTTCCTCCTCCTCTCCACCATGATGATTCTCACGATGAAGAACGACGCTCTGCTTCTCCGTCTGCCCGCCTGGTGTCAAAAAAGAAACAAAAAAAACATCTTACTTAAAGGATGTGTCTGATTTCTACCACGTACCTAAGAAGCGTCTCTGACCAACAGAGGGGGCGGGGTCATGGAGTCCCATCATCATGTTGTTCACAGTGCATACCAACGTTGGGCTATAAATGAATACATCATTTCTGAGAGCAGTATTTACAGGTGCTCAAAGTCGCTTTACAGAGATAGTAGGCAGGACTCTGAGAGGAACTGGGAGCATGGTTTGGTTTTGTTTGCTGCATGGCTGAAGATCCAGAGAGAGAATGTATATCAACAAAGAAGGACTGATTCTGCAATCACCCCTCTCTTCTACCAGATAAGGTAACATTACCACATTTTATTTCGAAAGAAGCACCTGCAGGATGAGGTGTTTTAGACCTAGATAGATATCATATTCCCTCCCACACATCTGAGGACTCCAGGATTTAGCCTGGTCCAGACTTTGTCCCACTAGCCCCTGAGTACAGAAATTAAATTTTAATCAATGATCCCCAAACAGAGCGGGGAAAACACTTTACATATTACAGCTGTTAGGGGATTAAAATACTAAACTGTCACTGGTTTCTGTATGTGTGTTTTTAAATGAAAATCTATTGAGTTTTGAAGGATGGTCAGACATTAAACCACCTGCTGATATCACTTAAGTAATCCATCAATTCGATTTGACGTTTTTTGTCAAAATTACGTCTGTTTAGAGCTCATAAATGATAAAACTGCCACCTTTTTGTAGTACACAGTAAAATACTTCAGTATGTTTGTTTATTTTTGCACGAACATGTTGTAGCTCACTGGAAAGAATGAATGAACTGAATCAGCGAGCTGCAGGTGTTTCAGTGACTCAGTACTCCTCTCCTTCGTCCTCCTCCTCCACGACGCTGTCGGTGCCCACCTCCTCGTAGTCCTTCTCCAGGGCGGCCATGTCCTCTCTGGCCTCGGAGAACTCCCCCTCCTCCATCCCCTCTCCCACGTACCAGTGCACGAAGGCCCTCTTGCATCACATTTCAGAGGTAATCAACGAGCACTTCCGGTGTACAGGCTCTGCTAATACACACACCTCACATGATTATCTTAATACATTTGCTGTAGCTTAAACTTTGTTTGTCATGGTATTTAATCCATGACAAACTAAGTAGAAGCAGTTAGACTATTTCTGCAGTGGTGTTTGTGTGCAGGTGCAGTTATAATTCATAATGCGCCTATTATCTGTTAACATTACATTAAAATATGCTTACATATTGCCACGCTGCTCTTGTTAGGTGAGGTAATATATGTCAGTGATAAAACGATGTGTGCATGTATTGATTGACCAACAACATGTTGGTGGACATACATAATACATGAAGGTACCCATGATGTGCCAGCGTTGCGCAATTACTCGTGTTGAAGTGATTTGACCTGAGTGTGTGCCAATGGTAAATAATTAAACAAAATATATTATACCAAAGTCATATTCTACTTCTGACACAGTTACATGTGAAGACTTAATAGGGTCACATTTTCCCTTCTTTCTGCAACAATCTTTAAGTGGTGTATCTACTTCCACTGCGAGCCAATGCACAGATGCATTTTGCCAGGGGCTCCAGAGTGAGGAGCCCTACCCCTGAGTGAGTCTCTTAAAAAATGGTCCAGTCTGATATTATTCACTCCCCATACAACTCGTGGCACGATGCATGCCGCATACATGCCTTTCATCCACTCCTCAGCTGCTGACAGCCATATTGAACATCTCCCCGACTAGCTGCGTCAAGTATGCGCAGAACCTGAAAACAAGACCGGAAGTTATGGAGTTTTTGCCTTCAAAGTAAACTAAAACATGAATGTAGGTTAAGAGAAACTCGGTTTGTACAGACAAATAATTATTGCATCTTAGCTTCCAAGGTTTATTTAGTAAATTATGAATTGTATTGTCTTTTAACATTGACATATTGACAGCAATGCAATATGAATAAACTTTGATTTGAAACTTCAAAATAAACAAAAGAATCTTCAGAAATTATTTTCTATGAAGCTTTTATTTTGAAAGAGGAGACCGGATGTTGTGTTAGTTTGTTCCAGCTAGCTCGACACTAGCACCCCAAATCGCCTTATGGTTGTTAAGACTTCAACGGTCTGCGGGAATTTGTTTCTCTAAAACGCAGCAGTAGTAGATACGACCCGCGGACCAGACACGGGATATCATCGTGGATATTGTTGTACCATTTGAAGATACAAGGCTTTCCTGTTCATTTGAAGATATACTTCGTCCCCCCGGTGAGTTGCCTCTCCCTAAAAAGATGAGCCTCAAGTTTGATGCGAATATCCTCGTGTTCGAGCAAATCATATTTTAAACGAGACATTGATTAATGACTACTTTTTAATCGGCTCGTTAACGCACCGTAGCTTGCTTTACGTAGTCACAATTTTACACGTGTTTCTTTTTATTTCTTAGGAAAATGTGGTGAATTAATGATGGCCAAACATTTGTATGGCTTTAAAAACTTCACATGTATGAGCGAGGATAACCGTGTGCACCGTTATCTACTTACACCCACTATCAAGCCTAAACATGACGGCCACATTTTCACTTTATGAGGAGTATTTCTGTCGGCTAACGGAGCGAAACTCGCTAAAAGGGCTTATTTATAACTAATTTAATGCATTTTATTTTGTATCTTCGTGGCATGCCTTTGCATCTAACATAAGTTACAGTTGTTGTCCACCATTTGTGTACATTTGGTCAATTTACAGTGTAACGGAAGCTAACTCGGCGGGTAAATACGCATGCTAATTGCTCACAAGCTACAAGTGGGCATGTCTTCATGTGTAGTACATACACTAGCTAAAGCTTAAATACTCAGGGGGGCTTCCCTACACATTCCTTTGAACATAACCATTGTTTTTATCACACTGTTGTTGTGTAAGGCCTCTAATTATTCTTTACTGAGGGAATTATACTGTGTGTAATAGTAATTATTGGTCTTTCTTTAGTTGTTCATGTTTATGGCTTTATTCTGGTTTCTTTATTAACCTTTGCATCCATTTTTTAATTTGGTTTGGTGAAGGTAATATATTTGTCAACCTTCCTTTTTATATGGTAAAGGACAAATGCTGCATGCAACTTTGAATACCTCAGGAATGCCTTGTGTTGTATTGAAACGTTTTCCCTAATTACAGGATATCAATCAGCTGTGTTGCATTAAAAGACAGCTTGGGGCGAAACTGTCATTCACACTGTTTTTAAGTCCCAGTGATTGAAAGCATCCCTTTGCAAGAATGTGCAAAAGTATCCTGTACAACACTTTGTAAGCTTTGAGATTGTGATGTTATCTGTGACTCAGCACAATACCTTTTTTAGAACATAAACTAGAGCATCCAAATTTAAATGTGACAAGCTCACATAAAAAAAACCTCTTGTATCATATGGCAGTTCAACCTAGGTCATTATCTAACTTGCAGGCTTGTGTTTCAACTAGAGCGAACCTCGACTACGCATGTATACCGTGGGATGCAGGGTGACAAATTGCTGCAAATGTCCAGCAATTATGTGTCAGAAATATAGTTTATTTTGTTGAGATTGAATGCAAAACCATTGCACTGCTTCTGTCCACTTTGAATTAAAATGTCTGCCAAATGTAAGGATTAATCCTGCAATATATTGTATTTTTTTGTACAGAGAAAACAAGAGTGTACAAGGAAATATTGCTGTACATATTGTTTCATCAATGTAGGAAAACATGTCTCTTTTTTGTTTTGCTTTCAGGTCCTGTGATTAAGGAGTTGTTGCCGTCCTTTCAGCTGTCGGGTGTAAGAAGGAGGGGAAGCAAAGATGCCGAAACCGGTAAGATTCTAAAACATGAGTTGGCATAGAATTAAGAGCTGCAGCCCTAAGGGAAAAAGCAACCAAAAAAAACCTTGAGTTGGGCATCTTCCTGCACATTTTAATTGTGTAATGTTAGAACTTAATAGGCCGTAGCCTCAGGATATTTAATATGAATCTGAAACATGAGCGTTGCTTGTTGGTTCCTCTCTCGTCTGCTTGTATGAAGTAAATCTCCAGTTGTCATAAAAGTTTGCATGCGCTGCTGCAGAAAGCTGCCCAAGGCTGCTCCCACTCCCAATACTCCTCTTCCAAGTAAACAACAGCCAGAGTGTGAAATGAACTGCCCGGCCCACGAGCCTCGTAACTACAACACTGCTGCCATTGTTGCTTAAAGGGTGGAGAGAATGCTCGGGATGTGATCAACACCAAAACATAACCAATTTGATGCAGTCCCTTTGCGGCTGTCCCGCTGTTCTCAGGCTGCTTTTTCCTCATAAACACACCTGGGTAGACTAACTCTACAGTAGCAGATTCTCAAAGTCTTGTGTTGTCTAGGGATGCCAGTGATTATTCGAATATTCGTTACAGTCTCCATAATCAAATATTATTTTTAAAAATCGATTTTATTTATATATATTTTTATTATTATTTATGTTTTATTTATTTTTTTCTATAAATATAGACTAATGCTAATAATAGTAATAGTATTAATAATTGTAAATGGCCATTGGTCACACCACCAGTTTGTTTTACTGTAAACTTGGAGGAAGCCTGCGTGCAGAGCAGACTGCTGCTGCATCACTCTACACACCGACCCCGCCCCCCCCTCTCCCTCACACAAAGCTGCAGGTAAAAAGAGTTCCTCCTCGTGGAACTACTTCGAACTTACAAGTCCAAAGGAAGTTAAATGCAAGCTCTGCGAAAAGACGTTGGTCTATCACAGCTCAACCTCAACAATGCGTTTGCATTTGAGTGCGAAGCACGCCAAAGAGGTTACAGAGAAAGACGCAGCACAGCCGGCCATTACCTACTTCACTTTAAGGCCACGTCGTTGTGATGACATGCGTGCAGGGGGGGGTCGGTCGAATAATCGATTATTATTCGCCAGGGTTGCCGAATAATCGATTTTGATCATGGTCAGTTTCTGGCAACCCTAGTGTTGTCTTGGTCTTTTTGTTTCTGAGCAACTGATACTCTTACTGAGTATTTAACCTTCTTTCTAAAGTCTTGAGGAATTTTAAGACCAAACCTAAATTGGTTAGCCACTCCCCCCAATCAGGAAAGATGGCTGACACCTGATTTTGGTTGACTGCTCAGCTACAAGTATGAGTGTCTGAGCAGTCAGTCTCTCTCTCCTCTTGGGTTGCTTAGCTCTACTGGATCTTGATTTGTTTGTCTTTGCTTAATATTAGGGGTGTAACGGTTCACGAACATTTCGGTTCGGTACGTACCTCGGTTTTTAGGTCACGGTTCGGTTTGGAACGTTTTTGGTACAGCAGAAACAATTATCACATAACATATATATATATTTTTTTAATTATTACTAAACTGTGAATAATGTATTCACTCAAATAAATACAAAATATAATAAAATGAACATTAAGGTGCAGCTTTTCGATGAAATGAAATCTGTATTTGAACTGAACTAGTTCCTAAGCAGCTAGTTTGACATTAGGACTTGCTTGTCATTGTATTTTCATGTTTTTTTAAAGAAAGATGAACTTGTCCACATTGCTTGCCGAAAGGGCAGATCTGCTGGCACTAACAATGTCTCCTGCTGTGGAGAACACCCTCTCTAGGGACAGAGGTAGCAGACACAGCCAGGTAGCGCTTTGCTAACATGGCAGCATAAGGATATTTGGCGTTTGTAATAGCTTTGGCTCGGTCTGAACTCTCTGCGAGTGGTGGAGGCTTACATGCTAGTGGGAGTTGGGTTTGCACTTCAGTCTTTTTTCTTTTGGTATCGGTGATATTCACGTTCGGCTGATGCCTTTTCAAATGAGTGCAAGTTTGATGTATTGCCAGCCGTGTAACCAATGTTAGTTGAACAATGCCGACAAACAGCTTTGGTTCGGTCCACCTGTCTTTGTCCGTCATCCTTGTACGTAACTGCGAAACCAAAATGTTCCCAAACCGGAGACTTCAATGATTCTGGAGGATTTTCGAGCTCAACTTTATCTGCGTTCGCCATTTCGAAAGTTCCTCAAATGACTGACTATTTGAATGCATCCCTCTGACCAGCTCTCATAGTATGCCTCTCGTCCAATGAAATGACCTGCTCGCTCTATGACGCCTTGAACCCAATGTGAGCAAATTACTCTGAATGCTGCAACGCAGCACCTGAGATTACTTCAAAGAAGTTGTTCACGTTCTCAATTTTTTACGTTTAACGTTATATTCGTTCGGTACACTTCGGTACACACGTGTATCGAACCGAAGGGCCCGTACCGAATCATTTCGGTACGGGTACCGTTACACCCCTACTTAATATACTGATGCATGTTCACAAACTACACACATTAATTATTAACTGACATCACAATTTACTTAGTTTCTTTAAATAAATGTACTTTAATTGGAAATTAATCATTTGTGGTCTTCTTCTTTTGTCCGTCCTTGAGCCAGGGCGTGACATGTTTTGATTTAGAATGTTTTTAGTTGCTAAAAACGACATCAGTAGCTTTCCTAGGACAACAGGCTTCATGCTTTGCCACATTTCCAGCTAGCTCTTGATGTGGTGTTTGTTTGTGGATGTGTGTTTGAGAAGTTCAGAGAAAGGGACAGCCAGCCAGGCACTGATTTCATCCTCCACTTGCCTTTCTTGTCCCCTTAGTCACCAGGGCACCGTCCCAAAACAGCTCCTCAGAGGGCTGAGTTCAGAGCCACATCTCTGTCACAGACGATAACAAACTGACAGAGAAAGCACAGCTTGTCGCAGGGAGGCACCGACACAGTAAACAGAGGAAGTGAGAGCAGGGTCCAGCAGGCATGACCTTCTCTGGGATTGGAGCCACAGCCAGACATCAAAACTCTAGAAGGGGCCTCTTGTATCTCAGTGTCAGCATTCATCTGTGAGCAAAGAATACAAGCATTTGCGAGGTTGAGCAACAGAAGGGTTTGTTGAGCTAGTAGGAATTGTTTTGCATCAAGAGTCACGTAGTAGAGGTTACTATAAAAACACAAACATATGGTGCTTGCTCGTGTGAGTCTTTAGCAGTGATTATCTTGTCCAGTTTGGAGGTAAAGTTGACACATTTGTACCCCTGCGTGGGTGTTTTCATACCTCTTGAAATCATATCACACCCCTTCTGCTCGCATTATGAAGTGATGGCACCCCACAGGAAGACAGACGGCACCCCACAGGAAGACAGACGGCCCTCGCTGGTTTCCTAGCTTGTGGCTGTTTTTCCATTTGCTGAAGAAGGGGCCCGCTGTGTACATCGGGGGCCCTGCCAATGTCAACATCCTGTCTCTGTGGGAGTACAGGAGCAATGGGAAGAGAGGGGATTATCACCAGACAGCTGAGGGACTGTCCGTGCAGCCAGCAACGAGTCAGACAGTCAGACCATACAAAAAAGAAGGAATAGAATGAAATGGAAAATGAGATCTGAATCTGTTCTAGTGCTCAGGAGATATAGGGATTTTTAGGAGGTACACAAACGGTAAAGGTTATTGGAAGGGAGGAGTTGCAACATCACAAGTGTGTACAAATGTAGGTCTGTGTAAGGAAGACCCTCCTTGAAAAATCCCTGGAAGCTTTTCAGATTCTTTCTACAGCAGATGACTGGAGGAGGAGAAGTAAACGTTGTGTCCTCTTGTGAAAGGACACAGGATGAATGTTTGTGTTTGTAGGTAGCAGTGATTCCTCCTCCTCCTTTTGCTCCCAATCCTCCTCCTTCCTTTCCTGCTCCCTACCAAATGCTGCCTCTCCCTGCAGGGGGGTTAATCAGACGGACAGACAGCTGCTCCGAGCCTCAAAGGCCAGATTAGCAACTCCATTGATTGTAGTGTGTGTGTGTGTGTCTCTTTAGGCAAAGCTCCTCTAAACAGCTTACAGTAACTTAACAGCTGCACATTTAACGAGGGGTCGTCTGAGTGAGAAGTCGTCTTGGCAGTTGTAATGGAGAGGGGGATTTAGGAACATGCTTAAAAGACGCATAGGGGGAACAAATGTGAATTATACAGCAACTAGTTTGAGACTCGTGGCCTTATTTGTCCCATACTTGTCAAGTCTGTTCTTTGTGATCTTGAACACCTTGAGGCCTCTTTAGTGATTCTGCACAAGTTAGAGCCAGTGTTTCCGCCAGACCAGGGCTGAGAGGGCGTCCACCCCGAGAGGGGGGGGTGTGACGTCACATGACTTGAATTTTGAATTCAGCCATCCCTTATAGATACTATCTCTTTACGTATTAGTCAGGGTGTCTTAAAAAGTATTAAAAGTTGATAAATCAATTTAGCGAAAATTAAGGTTATTAAACGGCATTTTCCAAGGTTTTGTAGCTTGTTTTCAATAAGTATATAAATGGTCCAAAGAGGTTGTATAGGTCTACAGTGTGCCTGAATGTAATCATTGCGTAGGTTTGTAGTAGGGCTGCACGATTTTGGGAAAAAATCTAATTGCGATTTTTATGACAATATTGCGATTCGAATTGCGATATTTGTTTTTAAGCGACCCAATGGAAGTTTATTGTAAAATGCGGCCATAACTCCGGCTAGGAAGGTCGTATCAACGTACTCCCGTCTCTAGCACCCCCTCAGCCCGAGCTACGAGTGAAAGAACTAAACTTACATGAAACTTCCGTTGGGTTGCTTTAAAGTCAAGCTTCAGTTTAAGACTCACCCTGTAATAGAAACATGTGATGGAGCATTACTAACCTGACCCAGATGGTTGGTTTCACCAAAGCATCTAGGAAAGCTCCATTGGGAGCCATTTGGAAAGGGCAGGCACTTTCAGAAGCACTTGGCAGGTGATTGGATCAATCTGTCTATCACCTTCTATCATGGGCCACTTCTGATTG